TTTATGATTTTTTTTTTAAATCAGAATTTTATGGGTTCTTTGTTTTCCCCAGAACTTTTGCATATGACTATAAAATGCAATACATACACTGTTATTTCGTTCTCTGAGATCAGTGGAATGTGTATTTTCTAAGTTTTGTAATGGAGCCATTATTTCCATTGTCCAACTATGTGGAATAAGGAAATTCTCAAGTTGTGTTTGGCAGCGTATTTGGGTTTGAGTGAGGCTGAATAAGCCCAGTTAAAACTCAGCTTAATAGAATTGAGGTGGGGGAAAACACAGACTATGTGCAATTCATAAAGGATGGATAAGATATATTGGTCCTTTGGCTTCCAGCTAGCAATCTTCTAGTAACTTCTACATTTTTATTTTTTGCTTATTTGATTTATATTAGGCATGACCAAACTCTATCATTCCAGGAACTCAACATTACAGTTCAATATATTTTTTGGGGGGGGGAATATGCTGACCAAGTTGTTTGGGGGTAGGCAGTTTTATTGAAAATCAACTTCCAAAACCTCCCTTTTTAGGTCTTTGTAATCTCTTAATTTGGAGCAGAGGGGAGACTAGATGGAGCTGAGAGTTTACTGGCTGAATGCCCTTCTTGATACCTATGCAGAGTTTTCAGCACATACTTTTTTCTTTTTTCTCTAGGAGAGAAACATGTGTTGCTACCTAGGATCTCAACCTTCTGAGTGGGAGGTGAGCATCTTCTCCACTAGGCCACCGTGCTGTTCATGAAGATCAACTTCCAAAATAGGAAAGATTAATTAATATTTGATATACATAACCTGCTTCCATAAGAAACTGCCAAACCACCATTGAAATAGTCCACCCAGTCTGATCTAGAATGAAACATTCCAGGATTCCATTACTGTAATAAGGGAGTAAAATAAAAAAAAACAATAATGTTTGCCTATTCCTGATTTCTCATTCTTAATATCTGTTTAAGTTGACCATCCAGATGATCTTCCCTTATAAATAACATTAAAATGAAAAAAACAAGGACATGAAAAATAAATAATGAAATAATATCTTTAAAGGTCTGGTTAAAATATATGGCTTTATAGGTTTTTATATGGGTAAGAGAACATCTCATAGCTTAGAAATAAAGGAGAAGATTTTATTTGTTTATCATCTAGCATGCATGACTGATAAAAAGACCCTTCTGAAAGTAAGGGCATTTTCAGAAAGGGTATCCTCTACAGCAAGGTTTTTCAATCTTTTCACCATTGTACCACTTTTGGGATATGGCAACATCTGAGTACCACCAGTCGCCTACCAAGGTGTCAAAAACTTGATGACCAAAAAAAGAAAAAAGTGATAAAGTACAGGTAGTCCTTGACTTACAACAGTTCGCTTAGTGACTGTTTGAAGTTACAATGGCACTGAAAAAAGTGCCCCCCAAGGCACAGCCGAGCAAGACACCTGCCTGCCCGCCCAGTGGCACTCTTCCTCCTTTCTGAGGTTTTCATTGTTGTGAGCATTTCTGTTGAGGATTGGCAGGGGGGTGGGGTGGGGGATGTTTGGTTTTTATTTCCCCCGTCTGCTGGGTGGTTGCAGAAGGTTTTGATCACTTCACAAGACCCTGGGACACTGTGACCGTCATAAATATGAATCAGTTGCCAAGCATCTGAATGTAAATCACAAGACCCTGGAGATGCTGCAACATTCCAGCTGATCCTGGCACTGCTTCTGGGCTCAGTGGAAGCGCCATGATCAGCGCCGAGCTCCAGCTGGAACCTGGTGCTGATCCTGGTGCTTCCGCTGAGCCCTGACAGCCCTGCAGCTCCAGCCATCTCTTGCTCAGGCTTGTGCAGTGCTGCCACCGGTTCAGCTCATTCCCCTCCCCCGCTACCACTTTTCTAGGATGGTCGCATACCACCTGCCAGGTGCCAATGTACCCGTATCACTGGTTGAAAAGCCCTGCTCTACAGATATTACCATTCAGGAAGTTTCTAAATGAAGAGGATGGTTACCCAGATAATAAAATTCAAAAAAACTTTTGTACACCTTAATAACGCCTTAAACTGTGTATGCAGAGCAATGAATTTAGCAAGCAACGCAAGTCTTTCTGTCCAGTGTTTCATTTGATCCAAATATTCTGCATCGTTTAGCAGCTTAGCAGCATATTTAGCCTCAACTTCAATTTTTGGACAATTTTGAAGAATATCTTTACCTAGAGTGCACGCTGCAGTACTGAAGGCAAAATGTGGCAGAGTCTTGGATAATGGTTGCCAAATCCAACTGGCACGGGAATAACCACAGCTGCACATTCAACATTATTTTGCAAAATTGCTTTGTGTCATAGTTATCCTCCATAGCTGAGGATCAAGAAGTATTGTTAGCCTTTTGGACTTATTTTTTTCAGCAAGAATACAGTCCCATCCAGCCTCCACTGGATGGATATCTCGCTGCCGAATGGCAGGTAAATTAATGGAAAACATCCATCACTCAGGATGCCTATTTGGTCCTTATGAGGAAAAGCTGATTTGATGAAGTAGAAGGAAGGAAAAAATGATGATTCTGAACATTCTTACAAAAAATAACTATTAGAAGCAATGAATCCCTTCAGGCTGATTTTTATATAAGAAGATATAAGGCACAATTCCCTATCTCTGTGCTTCCTCTGGAAGAGCATGCTACTTTGCATGTTCCTAGGACTTTCAAAGAGAACAATGACACAGAAACATTAAGCATTCAGCCACAGAAGCATATAAAGGAACAAGAAGAGTAAAATACCTCAAGAATAGAGGTAAGATACCTATACAAGTACATGAGGGGAACAAAAAAATTTCTCATGCTTTTAAACACCAGCAAAGATAGTATTTCTTATGTAGAGTGCTGCCCTCCCACAAGTTCTACTCACTGTTAACAGTGTATTTTTGTTTTGTTAAAACAATTTTAATGTTCCTCTCCATTCCTCTATGCCCAATGGAGGATTCCAACTTGTGTTCTAGCCCTGAAATAAGAAACCAATAGTCTTTCAGATCACGACTAATGTTCTACTTGGAGTGTTCTGATTCTGATTTAATCATATCTTGGGGACATCTAGATTAAATGCTATGGCAAGGTTGTAAGGTTTCTTTACCTTTGTTGTAGGCAGCACTGCAGGAAACCACCACTGGTAAGTGAAACTCCCCTTCCTTCTGGAACTTGTGAAATTATCAATCTAAAACATCTCTTTTCTCAGCAGGTGGGAAGATTCTCTCTATACAGTCTAATGTAGGCCATGCAGTTTGTGAGAAGGAGATGTCAGTGATATCCATATGAAGAGAAGGTTCCATAATATATTGGAAAAGATAAATAGGGAGCACACAATACATACACACATATTTCCAACTATATTTAGCTGGAGAGGAAAGAAAACGATTAAGGTGAAAAATAGTCCCCAAGAAGGCTACAGGCATATCTGTGGTGAACAATACTGTTTTAGGGAGCAGTGTAGGTATATCAGTATAATAGGTGCCATTCTGTTATATCTCTCATTCATCAGCTAATATTGCAACCATTAAGGAGAATCTTACCTTTCTGGTACATTATTTCCTGACTCCATAGCATTACAATGTTGACATAATGTGAAATAAGATTTGTAAGTTGTTTCAAGTGTTTCATTGAAATCACACAGTCATTGCAGATTTGCTTCTATGCTACTCTTCCCGAAACAACCAGGAGCTCAATTTAGCTCTTATCGCTCTGAGGTGACTTTTAATTAATGCAATTGGGGCAGGTTTAAGTCTCTGAGAATGAATGGATGAATGCTGTGTTAATACCTTATATGCTCTTATTCAGACTTCTATAGTACTGCTTTTAGGAATGGTAGTTGCAGAATTATGAATGCAACTTTTTCTTTCTCTTGGCTTACTTACCTCTGTGACGATACAGCTCAGTGAACATCCTGCTTCTTCTATCTAGCAGTATATTGCTAGTAGGCCATAACACTGACACCCCTATGTCCTGCCAATAAATAGGGGGTCCTTTCCAGGAGACACCAAATTTGTCAACCTGTTATGCATCCTTCTTGGCACCTCAAAAATCTGCACTCAGAATCAGAAGCCTGAAATCAGAGCCAGTAAATTTATACTATCCCATGGGGCAAGTCAGTAGTTTTCACTGTTCTGATAAGTCTGGTATTACAGACAAGTAAGTTGAAAGATAAGAAATTTAAAAAATGAATTTGATTTCAAAAGTCTGTTTTATTTTAAATTGGACATAGAGACTCTCTGTATCAGATCACCCAGTTTCTCTTTTGATTTTGGCTAGAAATCTGAAGTTGATGTGTTGTCTTTTTCTTGTCCCTGCTATTTCTGCATTTAAAACAGCACATTTGGGAATATTTTGATATTTTATTGAAATAAAACGCCTTGAGGCATCCAGCTGAAATTTGTCAATGTCCTATAAGAACAAAAGCTACTGTTCCTACTATTTTTATCACTTTCTGCTAAAAAAAGAAATCAGTATCAGGCATTTTGAAGTTCCCCATTAAAGCCTATAAAGATTTTTTTTAAAAAAATTGAATCTCAAAGTGGTTCAAATTGATTTGGGTTTCCCTTGAATCACAAAGTCTGATCAAATTATTCTTTCACATTTAAATGTAAACCACATTGGGATGATTTACAAAGGTCTAGTGTGCATATTACAGTATCAGCTACTGTCAGTTAGCTATTATAGTTTTAATTCCTTCATGTACATGTGCTCTGTTGCTTCCTCTTCTGATGTTGCTGGCTTCCTTTGCTTATGGGAATATGGGTATGAACTGGTTTGTATGATTCCACAGATCTGACCTCTGAGCTATTGTGCTGCAACTGATGCCAAAGACATAGCTAATATGAGGAACATTCCCATAAAATAAAATTGATGGTTACAAATGCTAGAACACAATCATAACACTTATGTAACATCACAAAATTAACCTGCTTTTTTTGTCTTTTGGACTATCTCTTTCAAAAACTTCAAACATATTCAATTTTCATTATTGGAGAATTCATAAAAGGAGGTGTTTCTTTTTCACTCACACATATTATGAAGATCACTATAGGAGGATTTATGGATGAGATAACAGAACAGGATGGCCTGTTCTGAAGTCTAAGGGAGGAAGCTTGCAGAAATTTGACTCTGAGAGTAAGTAGTTTTGTTATGCATTTCTGCTTTAATATACCGTACATGCCTTTCAATCAGCTATATTAATTATTGTTCCTATCACTTTTGGGGAGTGTGAAGAAGAGAACAGCTTACCAAGTGATGGGATTCAAATATGTGAACAACCGGTTCTCTGTGTGGATGCCACTTCCGGAAGTCCATTCTGGGCCTGGGTAACAAAAAATTAACTACCGGTTCAGCTGAAGTGGTGCGAACTGGCTGAATCCCATCACTGAGCTTACCTTTCCTAAACATTCTGAAACATATAAGCTTTGAGAAAATAGAAGAGCATACATAATAAAAGGAGAAATTTCTACATTTTTTGGGTTACAGGAGAAAGTTGAAATATAACTGCAGCTGTCATGATGTTGTCTGCCTATATATTTAATTATAGGGTTGTTCTTTTCCTTTATTTTTGGTGTGTGTTACTATTGAACACAGAATGGAGAATCATAGTGGCCTGAGTTTAATGGGTTGAGGAAAAGTTGACCTATATTCATTCATTCATTTATTTATTCATTCATTCTAGCAGCTCAGAACTGAACAGAAATAAATAAGGCTTTATAGTTCATACCAGCACTTAAATCAATTAAACCAGAAACAAACTAGAAACCAATACAGCTTGTGAAGCAGGGGTGACACATGGCCATATCAAAGCTTGCCCATTGCTGAACATACCACTCCATTTTGAACTGGTTGAGATAACTCCAGTGGAGCATGTTGCAGTTGTTAAGCTGTGAGGTGACTAAGATATGAAGAGAAGAGCCTTCCAATCGAGGAAAGAGCACATGTGGTGTAACAGATGAAGCTAAGAAAGGCCTTCTTGACCACATCTCCCACTCCCTCATCAATCAAGAGCTGCAGGGAAACCCCCCAGATTGTACAGAAGGAATATCATCAATTGAATGATTTTATTAAAAATTATAAATAAGGAGAATAGAAACTACACAAATCACAAAAGATGAAAATGCAGGGGAGAGTGAAAAAGAAATAAAAAGAAGTAACTTCTTAATTCAAAGAAGAAAGTTCTTTCTTTTCCCCCCCATTTCTACAAAAGTTCCTCAATAGTTTCATAGATTTTTTTTATACATCCAATAAAAAATCATATCTCTTTTCTTCTTTTGGCTTTGAAACATCATCCTGTTTGTAAGGATATTTTTCTTATCCTTCTCAACGCTTGTCACATTTATATCCACATTCAGACTGATTCCAAATTTATTCAGAGTAACTAGTTTTTCTTTCACTACTTCCTTAATAGCCCATCTAGCGATCATTTCTGAAAATTTCAAAAGACCATTTTTCATAAATGTTTATCAGAGAATTCCCTGCTAAAATATGACATTCTTTATTCAGTTGTATTCTTTGTTGTTTTGTTGCTCTCTCTAGTGTACAATTTTCAAAGTCCCATTATCTTGTTTTGACTAAAGAAAACCTGAACAATGACAATTTCTCACAAGAGAAATTCTTCTAATAGTTTAAAATAATAATTCCAAGACCATCTGAACCCTTAAATTGTTGTCAACTTTCTAAAATCAATAAGCAGACTTTTGTTGCTTAATCCAAAAAGCAATATTTTCCAAAAACTTTAAAACGATGTTTAAAAATTCTTTCTCTAAGGAGAAGGCAATTCACTTATCAAATGCATTCCAAAGGGTCATAATCCTTCCAAAGCAAATCCAAAGAGATTAAGAAGTAATCTTGCCTTAATCCAGAGAGAATTTTAGCACCCAGATCCTCTCCCATCCAGGTGCCAACACCATTGTAACACTGTCCCTCTGCAAAAAGGGATGACTAGCTTGCCATGGCTCTGAACCGGAAGTCTGGAAGATCTCCAATCTAGATAGCCCTAACATCTACAGCTACTCGCAATTCATAGTGTGGGAAAAATCCAGATAAAGAAATATTTGGGGGAATATTAAAAAGGCAGAATATATTTATCCAAATGAATAATGGAGAAGATCTTTAAAAAGGCAGAAACTTCTCCTTCCCCCCAGCTAGAAAACTCAGCAGAAACAGCTTTTAGAAATGCAAATGTAATAATCCATTCAGGAAGGTTGGAGCCAGGAAGCTAGAAGCTGATGAGATTAGGAAGACAAAGACCCCTAAAATCTACACATCCCACCTAAACTCTAAAAGACATGACCTTTGGGGACATAATAGGATTAACCCACCAATACCAAAAGGGCACACTCAGACTCAGGTCAAAGTAGATGACACAGGAAATATAAAGCCTCGAACAGGAACAGGAAACAACTTTAAAAGCTCAAGAAGGTATAAAAACCCACCACTTCTAGCTACATGTGGTCAGCTTTCCCAGAGCCTCATTTCTGTCTAGCTCTGTTCTTCAATAAACTACAACCTTCTTTCTAAAGCAGTCTCCATTTTGTTTATTCCCCGCTTGGACTGGATCCTGATGAATTAGATTTTTCAATCTACAATAGGATTGAATTGGAACCTGCTGCTTCACATGTAAACCCACCCATCCACCATTGCTATGCTTGCCTAACAATGTTACCCTAGTTAATCTATTTTCAAAATTCACACAGGACATTGATTCATGCACTAATGAAAAACTGCTGGACTGGAGTACAATGAGGAGATCCTGCAAGCAGAAAAAAAGCACTGGAATAGGCAAAGATGACAGAAGGATATTACAGGTAGTCCTTGATTTATGACTACAATCGAGTCCAAATTTTTTCTTACTAAGCAGAACATTTGTTAAGTGAGTTTTGCCCCATTTTATGACCTTTCTTGTTACAGTTATTAAGTGAATCACTGCAATTGTTAAGTGAATCATTTGGTCATTAAGTGAACCTGTCTTCCCTTATTGACTTTGCTTGTCAGAAGCCAGTTGGGAAGGTTACAAACAGTGATCACATGACAGTGCAATAGGGACAGTTGAACTATCACAAATATATGCCAGTTGCCGAGCATCTGAATTTTGATCATGTGACCATGGGGATGCTGTACTGGTCATAAGTGTGAAAAAAAACAGTCATAAATCATTTTTTTTCAGTGCCGTTGTAACATCAAATAGTCAATAGAAGGAACAATAGTAAGTTGAGGACCCGTATTCACAAACTCATATTGTTAATTCTGAATGGTCTGACTTGCACCAGGTTGAAAGTTGACCACCACCATACCCTCTCCAGATTCAAGGAATTACATATGAAGACAGGGACAAAAATGTACGAAGAAGCACAATAAATACAAATACGTAGTCAATCATGCTAAACATAGTTGAGCAATTTCAAAGAAATGATTGAAACCTTGTTCCTTGATCCATCACTCTCATTCTCTGATTTACAAAATGACCAGTGATGCACACATGAATGCAAATTACAGCCGGTACCCCATAGAAAGAATGTACTTTAGAAAGATGGCACCCACACAATGCGAAGCAACAGCATTTGTTTTCACCAAGGAGAGAAATGGCATCTCCACGGGCTGCTAAACCCATTGTGTCTAATGCAGCAAGCAATATGTCTGGTTAGAAATCTGTGGAGATGCATTGCCCTCCTTTGTTCTTTCTGATCTTCCAACAAAGAGCCACCAGTGCGTCTCCTCAAAAGAGACATTTTATTTGGATCATTTCTCTCCGCTCTTGTGTTTAGTTCATCACCATGGCATATGAGTGAATATGATCATAATGTCCTATAATTAGAAGTGCATGGAATACAACCTAACAATTATCCACAGTCACTTTCCAGATCTTGCAACAAGGATACCTAATTTTAAATCATGGCTGTAGGATTTTCAGGTTTCCAAATATTTGCTCTTTCAATTAAGCAGATGGAGAGCCTGCTGGTAATGAGTGAGCAGGCTTCAGAACTTCTTTTGCAGCTAATTTCTGCCCAGGCTGAAACAAATTACGTGCAGCATTTCTTTATTAAGGTAAATAACGCCATGTGCCACTTGGCAAAGTTCCTAACAATCACCACATAAGGAAACCTGACTAGTGTTTCAAGGTATCATACCTAGTGGGAGATTTTTTTTGACGCCACCATAACAAATGTGGTGCTGCGGAAAGCTGGCAGCAGAAGATGCACTCTCTTATCTAAGTGCTCCGGAGGATATTTGCTGATGAATCCTACGAAAGGTTGATATGCTTATGTGCATCGGGGGGATGAAATAACAAGCCTGGGGGCAATGAGGGTCTCATATCTTCTTTGTGGATTTTAGAAATACAGCATGAAGCTCGGTGTGATTCAACTTGAATGGAATTCTTAACACATGCATTTTACATGATAGTTCAATGCAAGCTTTTTCAGACAGTTATCTAATACTGGGCGATGTTGATTTATAAGGTTGTTTTTTTAAAAAAATCACATTGGTATACCACAACACATTTTTTTATGAACTGTTTGCAGAAGATTGTAGTTCTAGAATAGGAGAATTTCAAGGTTATTTTATTTGCATCCTTCTGTGAACATTTCTGATCTTTTTCTGCACTTTTTCAGCAATTTTTAAAAGATGATGATGATGATGTGATGATGATGATGATGATGATGATAACAACAATGATGAAGAACTTCAGGAAGCTCTGAAGAAGTATGAATTCCAGCCCAGGCCTATGTTTGTTTATTCCACAGCAAATCCAACTCAGCTAAAATTCAAGGATTGTAGCTGGAATCTTAATGATGCAAGAAAAGTTCCATGATGGAATTTTCCACTAAAATCAATATATTTTTTTCTAAATAAAATGTTTTGGGTCAAGCTGCTTTTCTGTAAAATTCTGACTGATACCATCAAGCTCTACCGTGGTCCTCTAAGATGCATGGATTATCTTTTCTCAGGTCAGACAAAAGGTCCATGACCTTCAGGGAGGTGGGGTGGGATTTGACTTAAGAACTGTCTCCTAAGCCTTCAGCCTAACAGTTTCTGATGCCAAAACAATCAACACAACAAAAGCCAATGAAGGATCATGACAAGCTTGGCCAAGGGGCAGACTGAGAGTGGCATTAGACCTAAAGAAACCAAGTTTCCAAGTCTATGCTATCTTGAAAGCCAAGGAGAGTTTAGACCAGGGATATCCAACCTTGTGAACTTTAAGAAGTGTAGATTTCAACTCCCAAAATGGGAACATGGCTGATTGGGGATGTCTGAGAGTTAAAGTCCACAAGTCTTAAAGTTGACAAGGTTGGACACCCCTGGTTTAGACTAAAACTGGTGAGGTTTGATCAAAGATCTGAAAGAAAAAGGACCTTGCAAGGACCTTGCACCCTGCTCATGTGGGCTCTACAGGCACAGGTTCTCTCAAAACCAACAAGTCTGAACACTCCCAAAAATAGGGCTTTGGATTGCCCTGCCTTTCTTTCTATCATCATCCAGTACAAAATTTAAGATTGCAGTACAACTGGACCTTTACATTGGCCTTTATTTCTTTAAAAATAAGCTAAATGAAACAGACAGATTATAAGATGCTCACTCTCATTCTTTATGTGTGCACACACAAACTTTTCCCCCTCCTTTCCCCCTCCCCCATGCCATTGCTATAACCTTTTTACTGCTGCCCAAGCAATATTTAATTGAAATAGCTTGTTAGTGAATTGTTGGGTTTTTGCTTAAATCACAAATGTACCATGTGCATCACACCTGAGGCTGTCATCTGCAAATCCTTCTGCCACAATACACACATTAATTTCTGAGGCAGTGGATATGGCCTGGAAAGACAAGTTATTCATATAGTGTTTCAAACAAGCAAGCAAACACAAACGTTTGTAACAAAGGCAAAACAGAGGTATACAAGATGATTTCCCATGCACATTAAAAAGTCCATGTTTAAAATACAGCCAGTAGATAAGTTTGTCATTGTAGAGGTGTGAGATGTGTCTGAATTCCCAGGTATTAAAATATATTCCAGGTAAATTTCAGGATGAGAGTCATTTTGGTGTAGTGGTTAAGGCACCAGACTACAAACCACCACACTATGAGTACTAGTCCTGCCTTAGGCACAAAGCCAGCTGAGTGACCTAAGGTTAGTCTCCCTCCCTCCCTCCCTCCCTCCCTCTCTGCCCCCCCTCAGGAAGGAGGCAATGACAATCCAATTCTATAGTGTTGTCAGGAAAACTGTATACCTCTATCCAGGTAGTCACCAGGAGTCAAGATTGACACGAAGGCACAATTAAAAAGATAAATAAATAAATAAACCAGGAGACTTACAAAAATTCCTCTTTACAAAAATTTTAAAGGCATGGCTTTAAATAAAATAACCGGTCATATGACCTATGTATGGAAACATAGAAGCAGCCATCTGACATATTTCTAGTACCAGTTTTCTATAAATAGTTAAATTATTCGTTGAAGATAGAAATGTCTTGTTCTTGGGTAGCTGCTTCCCTCTCTCTCTCTCTCTCTCTCTCTCTCTCTCTCTCTCTCTCTCTCTCTGTGGGTGTATTTACTATATTGCCTTGTTTTGTGATGATCAAAATTCACCATATTCATTCACCATATATTCATTACATTATATATTAGGAGATTTGCGCAGAAATAACTCTTGACATGCATTTCAGGTCAAATTGCTGATATAAGCAGGTAAGAATATTTTAAGTATGTAATCCTATACCTAGTGTCACACACTCACAACTGACCATGTTCAGGATTTCTCTATTTCCTGTCACATATTGCATTTCAGATGTATCTTTAATAAATTTTAATTTACAAGTTAGCTATATGGAGCAACAGAACAACTGGATTGGTCATGGAATTTTTAAAAGTTAAATAAAATAAAAAAATGTAACTCTACATCAGACATGTCAAATTCGCGACATTACGTGACGTCGCACAACATATCGGGATGGTTTTGCCATTGCTGGCAATGAGGTGGGCGCGGCTTCCAGATGACGCATCCAGCCCATGGGCCGGCAGTTTGACACCCCTGCTCTACATCAAAAGCAAAAACAGTACCAGGTGAACTTCATTCCTTGCTTGGCTCCTTTTTCAGAGCCACTCTTCTCAAATGACCATTAACTTTTGTTTTTATTTCCATATGATTGAGAAAGTTTTGTCAAATTTTCAGCAAATCAATGCTAGTGATTTTTTAGTTCTATGCACAGCTATGTTTAATGACTGAAGCGTCTCCATGAAGCATTTGTTGACTGTATAACGTATACAGCTGGGCTATATCAGCCTTTTGTTTGTTAAGCACGTGTGGGATGTGTCACTCTCTAAATAACTCTCCTTATGGTTAGTGAAGTAGCCTTAGTGAGGCAGAGGGAACATTCCATTTGAGTTCCAAAGATACATTAGTGGAATTTGCACATTGGAGTAGGTTTCAGCTGGCTTGTTTGGTTTGCATTAACATATTGTGTGAATTCAAGCACTGTGATTTGTAAACTCTGAATTATGACTTTGTATGCTAGGTACCCAACCTTTGGTGGGATCCTTAACAAACAAAAGTTAAGCAAACAGTATAGGAATATAGAAGCTCAGCCAATGTGTTAATCTGGAAAATACATTAATGTGACTGTGTGTCAACATTGCCAGTTGAAAAAGAAATATTAAAAAAGTTACGAGCTGTTTCTAAATTCTCAAGCAGAAAGTTTGTGCTTGAAAGCTGAGTCTGAAAATCAGGTATTACTGAGACCTTCTCCTAGAGATAAATTTCTATTTAGAGAGAGATTTATGTTTTCTTTTTTCTTTGGGGGTTTGATGTTGTTTGAGAAAACAACATTAAAAGCGTTACACAATGGCAATGTAAAAACAGAGCCAACACACTGTCAAATTCACGTAAAATAATTTCAAAGGAATTAAGAGTTTTAGATCAAGCAGAAGTAAACACCTTGAAGGAAAGACAGTGTAACCCCAAAGGGTTTTTCATCTGATCAAGAGCTTCCCAGAGAGTTGATACAGGTAGTCCCCAACTTACCACCACAAATGAGCCCAAAATTTCTATTGCTGAGACATTTGTTCAGTGAGTTTGCACTTTCTTGCCACAGTTCTTAAGTGAATCACTGCAGTTAGTTGTTAAGTGAATCTGACTTCCCCACTGATTTTGCTTTTCAGAAGGGGGCAAAAGGGGATCACATGACCCTGGGACTCCGCAACCATTATAAATATGAATCAGTTGCCAAGTGCCTAAATTTTGATTATGTGACCATGGGAATCCTGCAATCCTGAAAGTGTGAAAAATGGTCATAAGCAGTAGTGGAATCAAATACTTGAACAACCGGTTCTCTTATTTGATGCAGGCCTGGGCCTCTGAGGCCTAGAATGGACTTCCGGAAGTGGCATCCATGCACTTACAGTGGGCTGTTCTAGGCCTCCTCCAGGCTTCTGAGGCCTAGACTGGACTTCTGGAAGCCAGCTTTTTCTCCAAATGCAGCAAAATTTAACTAACGGTTCTACTGAACCGGTGCGAACCGGCTGAATCCCACCACTGGTCATAAGTCCCATTTTTCAGCGCTGTTGTAACTTCAAATGGTCACTAAACAAACTGTTGTAAGTCAAGGACTATCTGTACTTATCCTGGGCTTTCAATCTTCTTCACAGCCATGTTAAAAAGTTTCCTTCCAATTTTTATGTTGATGGAAATCTATGCTGCCCTCATTGCCTCTCAGTAACATGGTCAGGTAGTTGTTTTGCCTTACAGTGGTAATATTGGCATGAATGGTGGAACCCTGCAGCTTTTTTTGTCCTCCCTTCAAACATCTCCAGCGGGTGAAAAAAACCCACTGATCGCTCTTCTTAATGTAGAATAGACTGGAGCTAGGGAGGAGGCAAGTTCTGATAGATGGCTAGACTTGCTGGTTGAGACATCTGTCAAAACCAGATTTGGAGAAGGCTGATAGCTAGAGAGGGAGCAGATCGATACAACATGGTCAGCTTTTCTTCAGCTGATCCTGAGGCTGCCAGAGCTTGGCAAAAGAAATGTGTGAATTGGGTAGGGGTGGTGGGAGAGAAGCATCACTTTGCCCACATGATTTTATTTTTATTACACTACTACAATCTATGTGCTACTCAGTTTTGCAAAGCCTCTGAATGGGTTACAAATGATACAAACATAAAACAGAGCAATTTTAACAAAATGACCATCTTCCCAACCTTAATAACAACAGCCACTTACACATGACAGAAAACACTGCTAGCAGAAACAATATACCATCGGTCCTCAAAGGATTTCTGGAAGAGCCAGACCTTGGCAGCTTTCCTAATGTCAGCAGGGTTGGTGCTCACTTAGTCTCAAATGTAGAGATGTTCCTGTGGAAAGGGCAGCTACAGAAAACTCCTGTGTGCAAATGAAGACAAGTGCATTTAAAAAACAACAACATTGCTCTGTACTTCTCTTACCACTCTCCTGAGCCTCGGCATCCCAGAGAAGTGGAATAATGACTCTTTATCAGCTAGGGGTTGCGGGGAGCTTAGTTTGAAAGAATGACTCTCACTGACAAAAGGAAAAACCACCTGGAAACCAGTGGCCAGGAACCAGGGTGGGGAGGGTATCCATAGCAGCTTAAAAGGACAAGACAAGAAACAATGGATGGAAACTAATCAAGGGGAGAAGCAACCTGGAACTAAGGAGAAACTTCCTAACAGTGAGGACAATTAACCAGTGGAACAGCTTGCCTTCAGAAAGTTGTGGGTGCTTCATCATTGGAAGTTTTGGACCACTTGTCTGAAATGGTCTACCACTGCATGAAGAGG